GGAAAAAAGTCAGAATTCTGAGATTAAAGTCAGACTTCTGACTTTTTTCCCATACTAAACTGAAATTTTTAAAAAAAAATCAGTTAACTTTTTTTTTTTTTTTAGTGGCCCTAATCCTCTTCCGTACTAATCTAATATCTTTGAAGTTGATTTTTAAATAAATCCTGATTAATGACTTCATGTATGTAATGACTTCATACAACTGATGCTGCTATTTTCTTCCTGCAGGTGAGCATCTCTACCGTCGGTTACGGAGATGTCGTTCCGATCTCCTATCTCGGCCGCTGCGTGGCATTTGGCTGCATCTCCTTCGGCATCATCCTCAATGGGATGCCCATCTCCATCCTGTTCAACAAGTTCTCTGACTACTATGCCAAACTGAAGGAGCAGGAATACACATATTCCAACACTGAGCGCACATTCCAGCTCAAGAAACGCCTCCGGCGTAAGTTTGACCGCTGCTTTGAGCCGCCGCCCGAAGACTCTGAAGATGAGATTCACTATCGACCCAGTGGAAGGCACACCGACTTGGACTATGACTTTGATGACTGATGCTTTCCACCTAATTGTGTCATCTTTAAACCGAAACGGCCTTATGACACATGGGTCTGGAAAGTTTAAGGACTCAACCTTCTGGATTGCTGAGACTATGGAGCTGATCTGATTAATCTAAGGAGGCGACATGGAAGCAGCAGGGCACAGAAATAAGCTTTAAGCCACGGCTTTGCCATCAGTCCCACTAAACGCATAGGGTGACGTTCATTGCTCTCTCAGGTGGACTAGGTTTGTCAACTAGACAAGCTGTTATCTGCTTCCAAGGACAGTCCTGTCTGCAACTACTGCTGACTAAACCTATATAGATGTCAAGGATTTTAAGTTCTGACGTACTGAAATAAATAAAGCAGTAGTCATTCCTTAAATGGGCCCTTTTCTAAAAGTGTTTTTAGTAAAATGTGTTATATGTATTTTTTTTTAGCTTTTCAGAATCTCTACAAGAAGTATTTTTAAATCTTTTTTTTCAAAGTTATTGACATATACAAGAGAAAATAATTTTAATACATAAATGATCTTGAATAAAATAAAAAAGGCATTCAAACGATGATTCCATTAATTTCAATCTGAAAAATTCACATGGAAAGAAAAAGACAATTAGAAGAATTTTATTGATACAATTTAATATGGCGCTCAGACCTCGGCAGGAAACATTGGNTTTATTGATACAATTTAATATGGCGCTCAGACCTCGGCAGGAAACATTGGCGCTGAATTTTCCTTTAATATGCATAAACAGGAGTAAAGAACAGGGATGTTCCAGTAGACTGCGTGAGCTGATACTAGTTCCTCGTTCAGGGACCTGGAAGATAGATGTCCAGCATAGATAAACACAGGTTGCATGAACCTTTCCATGATGAGCAAGCATGAAGCAACAGTGGAGAGGAAAAACTCCCCTCCCCTAAATGATTTTGAATAAATACAAAAAAAAAGGCATTCAAATAATGATTCCATTCATTTCAATCTGAAAAATTCACGGACAGAAAAAGTCAATTAGAAGAATTTTATTGATACAATTTAATATGGCGCTCAGACCTCGGCAGGAAACATTGGCGCTGAATTTTTCTTTAATATGCATAAACAGGAGTAAAGAACAGGGATGTTCCAGTAGACTGGTTGAGCTTATACTAGTTCCTCATTCAGGGACCTGGAAGATGGATGTCCAGCATGGATAAATACAGGTTGCATGAACCTGTCCATGATGAGCAAGCATGAAGCGACAGTGGAGAGGAAAAACTCCCCTTTTGGAAGAAACCTCTGGCAGAACCAGGCTCAGCATGGCAGATTTCTGCCAGGCCAGTTGGGATGACACAGGGAACGCAGTAAGATTCAGAGAGGAATGAAACTCTGATGAAGCTTTAGCTATGATGGCGGAGGAGGGGCTGGAGGTGGGTTGAAACGGGGTAATCTGACTCAAAGTCAGTCATAGCGCAAAAACTGCCTGTGCTTTGGCGTGTAGCAGACTGAGTTGTGGATTTGGAGACCTTTTAAAATGAACTCAAGAGTAGCCTGGCTTGTGGTTGTGTTTTCGTCGTCGCTCTGTTAGTACGTCATATGCTTCTGTCCTGGCCTCGCTAAGCACTGTGGCCTTCAGCAGTAACTCAGCTATACAAGTAACTAAACACTTTCCCATTCGTCCACCAAGAAGCACTGCATTAGGTTCTTTAGCAGGATTTAATGAGAATTGTGTAAAATTGTAACACACAAATGTACAGAAAATGAATGCCAGCTAAGCTAACATTGGGCTAACACAAGTTAAAATGTCTATCT